GTGTGTCTATCCGGGTATTTCAACTCGGCAATCACGCAAACTCCGGAGCCAAAATTTTGCCAGGGGTTCCCCGGCCAAGTTCCACCCCAGGACCGCGGTACCAACCCTTACGCACGTCTAGGCTCAGCGTACGGCCACGTGAAGGCTTTGCCGGAAAACGGTTAACTCGGGAACCGGAAAAGCTGGGAGGCTGGAATTTTGAGCGGATGTCCCCTGCCCACATAAAGCTCAAAGATTTCAAATTCAGCCTCCGGTTGCGCTTGGTTCTCATGTATGGCTCCGTGAAAGTTTTCGGGAGGAAAACCGCTAACTCGGGAACCAGGAAAGCTGGGAGGCTGAAATCTTCAGGGATTTTTCCTAGCCAATGCATAACTTAAAGATTTCAACTTGAGCCCGCCCTCCCCCATGCCCCCACGCGTGTTACTCAGGTATGGGCTCGTGATAGTTTGGAGAGGAGGGGGAGCCAGAAAATCTGAAAAACAGAAATTTTAACAGAATGTTTCCGTTCCAAATGCTTAGTGGTTGTTGTACGATTAAATTTTTGTAATTCGAGGACAAATATGTCACAAATTCTGAGCGATCTTACATTACAGCACGAGATATTGTAAAAACGCATGATCGCACAGGCCCGCCTGAAGCACGTCGCCAATGATTGTAATTCTTCTGCCGTGCAGTTTAATTTGTCCAAAAATTTTCCTCGTGAAATAAATTTTTCTTTATTCTCTGTTCGAGGGAAAATACGAAAATGCTTGAATTAAGGCCACATCCTGACCGATAAATGCTCTAGCTTGCCGATGCATCGATTTTTTGAGCAGTTCTGTGCATCCGTTAGTAATTAGCTGAGAAACCAGTTCAAATGGTTGAAGTAATTTTTAGTAATACTGCTGTCTTCAGTTGCAGTTATTGCTTTGGCCATGGAAAACTGGAATTCAAAGATGTATACATTATATTTGCTTATTATGTTTTCATTAAATTCTCTTCGTCGATAATGGACCGCAAGTGATCATAACTTTTCATGGTGTTATGTGTTTGATTGAGTTGGTCCAGTACCTCGTTCTGATGTATGCTGAAGTTGTAACAGAGTCAATGTATATTAGAAAATCAATGTACATCAGGGTTAAAATTTGAAACGTTAAAACAGCATACGATAGTCAACTTTAAAATGAAGGAACAGTGATTAGAAATTCTCTATTAAAATCTGGTGTAAGAAATATTAGAAAAAGTGATAAAAAGATTTAAGAAAGGACCAAGTACGCCAGACATACAGCAAACCAATAGATTATGGCAGCCTAAGGCCCTTTCCTCCTGCATGTGAAAGATGAAAGAAATGGGAAAAAGGAACAACGTGACGAATAAAAGAAGAAAGGAAAAAAAAGGAAGAGAGGGAGAAAAAATTATTATAAGTTCCTAACTTTTTTTGTCTAACTCAGTGTTAAACGATTAGATAAATGTTATATAAATAAGTATATATTGATATTAAGTAATGAAGCAATAAAATATTATGTGTTTTATCTTCTGCAGTAGCGATAGATCAAAATCAGTTTCTTCTTAGGTCGCTGATCTAAACACACAGGTTGATAAGAGCTTCCGTGGATTTTTGTTGTTCCGGATAATCAGTACACGAGTGTGTGAAGATATGTTGGACGGAACGATGTTGTTCGTTGTTGTTTTACAAAAAAAAAAGCCAGAATCACCATCCTCCCTTCCCGCGGTATGTTCCACGTTCCTAAGACTTCTGTGTCATCTTTCTGTTTTGGAGCTTTCTTGATTACCTGGGTGATGTTCATACATAAAATTTTGTAACAAATGTTGCGTGATTCGTGCTACAAAAGATTCAATTGTTTGACCTCTGTTGAACATTCTTTCGTTGAAAGTACATGTGTTCACTGCTGTAAAATTCTAACCGCTATTTTTGTTTAAATTATTGCCGCTGCTGGAGCATTACTTGCTGGTCAGCTTGCTGATAATTCGATATCCACTGAAATTTTGGACCAGCTATTTCCCCTTCTCTTTAGATCGAAAGAGAGGAAGAGAGATGGTGAATTCCCCCAACCTCGCAGTGGTTCTAGATCAAAGCGAATGCCATTCATATAGATAAATAAGCTGATCCCTAATTTTGTCAGACGCTGGTTCAGGAGTGCGCATTTTCAGGATCGTTGCATGGGATTAGGAGCAGCGCATTGTAGCGCATCAGAGCGTTCAATGTCATCATCTTGGGATCAGTTTGGAGATTCGTTAGCGGAAGCGATTACGAAAGCCGATTCAGTGCGTGGCAAGCGTGAATGCTTAAAAGCATGGAATGCTCTTTTATCATTTATCGTAAGCATCATTTTGGCAGCTAAGATATTAGTTCTTTTTTTGAAGATTTGATGGAAAAACCGAATTGCCGCCGCTCAGAACATGAAACGTGTTCGCACACACGCCAACAGTCTGTCATCAGAAAATGGCAATGCTAGCAGATGATACTACCACTTTTTACGCGTTTTGGCAGATTTATGCAAGTGAAAAATGCATACTGACGAGAGACTGTTGGTGTGCGTGTGTATATGTGTGTGTGTGTGTGTGTGTGTGTGTGTGTGTACATATGTGTGTCCCCGTTCCTGTCACCCACTTTCAATTTAGCAACTAAAGGAGCTGGGTGCTGAAAATTGCCGATTGTGCACGGTCATCTATTTTAAAATTATCATGCAGTTACGGTTGGTCTTACGTATGGACACCTAAAAGATCAGTAACGATGCGCACCAGGCAAGGCCATGCGATCATGCGTTTTGCAGAATTTCGTGCCGTAGTAAAATCGTTTGGAATCCCAGTAGCTAGAATTTATGACATACTGGTTCCTGAAGTTAAGGAAGTTAATTGTGCAATCTACCTGTTACTTGGGTTGGGAACATCCAAATAAAATTTCAGCTTTTCAGCTTTCCTGGTTCCCGAGTTACAGATTTTCTCGCCATAAATTTTCATGGGCCTGTACATGAGAAACACGCACAACGGGGGCTAAACTCGAGTTCTTTAAATTCCAAATGGATGGGAACATCCCCTCAAAATTTCAGATTCTACTTCGACGTGAAGGGGGACATCTCCTCAAATTTTTAGCTTTCCTGCTTTCTTGTCGACGAGTTTGCAGTTTCTCGCCAAGAACTTTCACGGGCCTGTACGTGAGAACCATTCATACCCTGGGGACTGGATTTAAAATCCTTACTTCTTCAAAGACGGGAAACATTCCCTTTAAATTACAGCCTCCCAGCTTTTCTGGTTCCTGAATCGGCGATTTTCCCGCCAAAATTTTCAGTTGCTCGTACGTAGGGCCTAGACACGCGCGAAAGTTGGTGCCGTGGTCCTGGGGTGGCACTTGGCTAGAGAATCTACTGACAAAAATTTGGCGCCGGAGCTTTCTTGGTTGCCGAGTTGAAATGCCTGGACAGACGCATACGCGCCCATATACACACCGCACATTCACGCACACATACACTATGGGTCGTCACAATATGCGTTTTTATGCGTTTTTGCTGTGCAGCGCTATAGCAGCGCTATGA